ATCTCATACTACCACTATAATTTTCTTTATACACAATAACAAAAATAAATTTTACTTAGATATCTGACTCAAAATTTTTTACCTAAAAACCTTAGATCATGTGATAGTTTCTTAAACAAAATGCTTAAAGACTTGATTTGGTTTTGTACATCAAAAATATGTTTGCACAAATCTCGAGGAGATCCAACTGACAAAGGACAAAGGGGTGCAACTAAGGAGGGCCCACAGGTAGAATATCAACAGGTTCACTAAAGGAAAACCAAGGGTCCATTAGCAGAAGACTATGGCCCCACAGGCAGAAGACCAAATTAAGGTCCACAGACGGATGACCAAATGATCGACTTAACTAGATGCAATCCCAAAGGATCTCACATGCACGTACGAGATTTCTCACCAGAGGCCTAGAACTAGCCATAATATAATCACACGAAGCATCCTAATAGATCGCCTCGTCAAGCAGTGAACTACTTATCGGATTATAGTGATTCAATATCTACTTGATAGCCTAGCTTTACTAATTTTCCAACAGGAGTTACTCTCTCAATGATCATTAGTATCCAACCAGTAAAGCAAGTTGATTGAATCAAGTCTTGCCGACCAAGTTGATTGAATCAAGTCAAAGACTATCAAATGCCGACTAGTAAACCCCATTTAGCACAGTTGGATGAGTGGGTTTGTCGAACCAAAACTCGATAATTTCAATCAATTGAGTTAGTGGGCATCCAAGTCGAAGGTCCACACATATAAACTACCTAAAGTGTCCCATAATGCCTCTATTAAATAGGGGAAACATTTCATTTTATATATTGTATCCCCTCCTCTATAAATAGAAAAATCATTTCATGGGAAAAAGGCTAATCAAGAATTCAAATTACAGTTCATAATTGTTCATTTCCATCTCCCCCCTCTCTCTCATATTTTACGCTCTATTCTTTGGGTGTGATTCACATACCGATTCAAATTCAACATCCTAAAAGATGTGGTGAGCATGCATTGACAATGCCACAGACAAAAAGATGGGCAATTTATGAAGAAGAAACTCAAAACAGAGACACCAACAACATGGAGTGCACCTGAGAGTTTGTAATCCAACAAATTTAGGAGTTTGTGATCCAACAACATGGAGTGCACCAAGTGTGTGATGCCATCTAACAAGCACTGACTTGGGGAACAAAGAACTACCCCTGAGAGAATGGGTCAGGATCGATTGACCAACACTAATATTTTGATAGTGCCGGGTTGGCACCAATCAACAGACAAAACATACCACTGATGGAGTCAGGGTTGATATTTTGACTAACACTTGACTTTTTTAAGAAGATGTTAATATTTTTTTTCTAATTATGCACATAATCCTAGTTCTGACTGACACTAGGAAAACTTGAGGAGTTCATGCAATAGTTCATCCTAGATTTGATTTACACTAGGGGAACTCGGGGAATTCGGGCCGACTTGTCAGTAGTAGTTCATTCAAGCGAGTAAAACTGATAGCGATGTTCAATGTCTGATCATTTAAATTTTCTTTAAGGTCTGACAATGACGAATTGTCATCTAATCGACAAAATTCATTAGAATTGGCCTTCAACTCTCACACATCATAAAAACACGTCTCTTACCTTGGAACAAGTAAGGCTCTTGTTATGATTTCTTAACTGTGAGCGACAAGATCCACAATGGACAGCATATTTACAAGTAAGGCTCTTGTTACGATTTCTTCACTGTGAGCGACAAGATCCACAATAACCAGGCTCTTGTTACGAATTTCCCCAGTGATAAGTCTTTACTATTACTCCTGCAAAAGTTGCAACAAGATCTACTTAATGTGTCTGTCGAAAGGTACGACCCATTCAAGGCGACGACCTGTACGAGCAACAAAAACTAAGTTACAAATAGATTCAAAGCCAATCAAACTCAACAAATTGGCAACACCGACTAAACAAAGATGATCGAACTGGCCTTGCCATTCCAAAGTCCCAAGGAGAGTACTATGGAACCATCAAAACAGAGAGCAAAGGGACATAAAATTGAGGGAATTTGATTATTGAGTCATTAAATATGATCTATTTTTTTACATTAAAATTTACTTATTCGTATCGTAGCTATCACTTTCAATATGTAAAAGAGTCGAAGAATTAAAATATGTACATCAAAAATATGTATACATGAATCTCATAAAGATCCAACAGACAGACAAACAAAAGGGTACGATTATGGAGGAGCCATAGGCTAAAAATCAAAGGATACATTTGTGGAAGACCAAGAGTCCACTAGCAAAGACCAATGGACAACAGATAAAAGACCAAAGGATGTATTTGATGAGATGTAGGCCCCCTAAATTGGGACTAGAAGTCGGTCATACAGGTCATTTGAACCAAGGACTAAATCAAATGAAGCTGAGTGGAGGCATTGACCTACCTCTTGCCACAACCCAACTTAAAGAAAGAGCTCATCATTGCCAGATATCTTACGGGTACTCAAAGAATCACCAATTCAATAAGTGAGTTGTCTATCAGAATACAGTGATTCACCCTTTGTTTAATAACCTATTATTACTCTGCCAATAGGAGTTTCTCACCCACGGATCAATAGTCGCCAATTTGACTAATTAGAATAAACGACCGATAAAGCTAAGCCGGTCGAGTTAAATATTTCTGACCTAAAAAACATTAAAGGCCGACTGATAACTCTAATTCATCACAATCAGATGAGTAGGTCTTGTTAAAGCAAGACCCGACGATTGCATCCGACCAAGTCAGAGGCATCCAAGTCGAAGGCCCATTCATGTAAGTAGCTAAAATATCCTGTAACATTCCAATTAATGTAGGGACAAACATGTAATTTCATACTTTATTTCCCATTCTCGATAAATAGGAAGATCATTTAATGAGAAATGAACAATCATAAATTAAAATTAAAATTAAAATTATACATCTCTCTCTCCCTCCATCTTACTCTCATGTCTTAGGCTCTATTCCTTGTGTGTGATGCACATATAGATTCAAGTTCAACATGTTTAGAACCAGTAAGATTTGACAATACGAATTATATTATTTTAAGAGTGCACTAATTATGAAAAAATAAAAATAAGAATCATATAAATTTGACAATTCATGGGCAATATAATACTCAATTTGTCTCATAAATCCGACAAAAAAAATTCTAGAAATTTTTTTTGCTCCCATGATAATATTTCATTTTTTTTATTTAGTGTTTTTTTTAATTAATATTGAAATTATGAAGTGCATGATTTAATTTTATAATATTTTAGATATAATAATCTCTTTCAACTAATAAAATATAAACTCTTTCTCAAAATTATAGCCTAAATAAAGAGGGATATGTCTCTACATAAAGTTGGCTACACGCATTTTTGAGCTAATTATTTTTCCAATGAGTTTATAAATTAAATACTAGGAAAATTTTTATAAAGGTTGGTTTTGCTATAAAAGCCTTTCGGCATTATTTTTCTCACTTGTTTTTTTATTTTCATTTTATTATTTAAAAAAATATATATTCAATTGATAATTTTTTTTATTTTTAATTTTATTTTTAAAATTAACTCAACTTATTTTAAAAAAACACTCAAAAAACAAAAAAAAAATATTTTAAATATTTTTTAAAAAAAACTAACTCAATCAAACATATTTTAATTTAAATTAAAATATAAACACAACAAAATAAAAATAAAAATAAATACCTAATTAGATAATTAAACATTTTTGACAATAAATAAGATATGATATCATGGCCCTTGATGCTCTAAATTCTTAAAATTATAAAGTTGACAATAATAATGGCTTTATTTATTATACTTGTTCTAACTCTTATTAATGATAACTTAACACAAGTTTAAGTAACTAAATCAAGCTTATAATGAGCTTATGTGAGATTAATACTAACAAAAAGCAAGAAAAACATACCTATGCGTATTTTATCAGACCACTAACCCAATTAAGAACTTGCTAATTCAGAACTGCCAGCTGATTTCCATGGCCTCGCCGGTGACGGCCGGATTGAAGATGATTAACGGCGCCGTGACGGCTCATGGCCGTGTTTCGAAGGATGAGAACACCGGCTTCTCCTTCGTTAACTGCACCATCGGCGGCACGGGCCGGATTTGGCTCGGCCGCGCATGGCGTCCCTTCGCACGTGTCATCTTCGCTTTCACCTCCATGACTGACATCATCTCCCCAGAAGGCTGGAATGACTTCAATGATCCCTCAAGAGACCAGTAAGTTCATATCACTCCATTCATTGAGAAAAAAAAATAGGTTTTAAATTTATTTAGAGTGCTAAAATCATCTACTTCTTCAATCAAAATCTCTTCTTTCGAGCTTCTTAAGTGTATTCATGCAGGACTGTCTTCTATGGAGAGTACAAGTGCAGTGGTGCAGGTGCTAACCAGAACTTGAGAGCGCCTTATGTCTTGAAGCTGAATGATGAACAAGCTGCTCCTTTTCTTAATTCTTCTTATATTGATGGAGATCAGTGGTTGCAGCCTTACAGCTAATCTGAATTAATTTTAAGCATTTTTATTAATTAATGTTTAACGATTATGTATGTTTGTTAATGCATTTGGAAATTGAAGTATTTCAATAAGTTTGTAATATATGCTGTTACAGATTAAATTTCTGATTAATTTTATATATATATATAGTTCTTACCATGCCTCGAATCATATAATTAATTAGTTTCAATCATGGAATGATGATTTTGTTGTAGTTAATTTTCCTTTTAGCATGTTGCTCTAATGTTTTCCTCTTAATTTTACCTTAATTTTGATGATTTGAAACCTCTAATTGAAAAAAAAGGCTGTTTGAGAGTATAAGTCTTACATTTTATCAAACTTTACGCAGTAAATCTACGCCAAAAAAATATCCTGTAAATCATTCCCGTATTCTGAACAAAAGTTTGAAAAGCATTACTGTTTTGATACGTCTCTTGTGTTGTCGTTCACCAGAAAAATAACGTTGAAGAATAATAAATATTGCAGAAATATATACTGATCATATATTTGTGCTTATTGTTCTTCTAATTACTTTCTTAAAGCTAACATCTGCAGCTTATAATTCTCCTGCCATTCAAAACACCAGGCTTCATCTAATTACAGCTGAACTAATTATTTCTAGCCCACAGAAGAGAGAAGAGAGATATAAAACAAACAGAAGAAGAGTTAAAACACAGGAAAAGTAGGTGGAATAAAAGCTTATACAGCGACTGCGCAGAAAACAGACAACATAATTTCCCGCACGTTCTTGACTTCCTGCTACCCACCCTCTTCTTTCTTCCTTCCTAGTTCCTACCCATCACCAAGCACGTTCCGGCAAAATTCCATCAAAAAGCCAGCATTTATACAAAAAATCACATAACCAAAATCCAAGTCCTTGCATTTCTTAGAACATATCACCATCCTAATCAAAATCCACAAAAAAAATCCAACTTTGAAATCAAGTAGACATATATACCCAAAATATATAACATCTACAGTTATAAATATAAGCTAAATGAAGATACTCTTCACTTACGATCTTCCTCACAAAAAGTAGCCGCCACCTCTGTTA